CTCCTTCCTCTGCTACGGTACCAGATGTCCTTTGCAGGCCCCAATAGGATGGTATATCCTCCATGTGCATCTTGGTCTGCCATCCACTGCTCCATCTTTTCCACTGAGGAGCCCAGTTCTGACACACACACTATGGTCAGAACACCAGTCCTGAACATGAGGCCTCATGTCCCCGCATGTCCCCACTTGTATCATCCTCCAGACCTGCAGGAAACCCACACACCAAGCCCCAACCAGTGCACTACTGGGCGGTGAGCTTTGCCTGTCACCATTGGTGACCCAGGTGGCTGACATGGGTCTCACTTGAAGCCTCCACTTCCAAGGCTAATGGATGTGGCACCCACGAGCAGAAGAGCCTAAGGACCCAGGCCAGGCAACCTGGGCCCTGCTTGATCTCCTAGCACCTGGGGAATCATGGACCCAGCACCCACCACACAGGTGTGCCAAAGGTTCCAAGCCAGGTGACCTGGACCCCGCCAGACTGCCCACCCCTGGGGCTCATGGACTAGCATCTATTGCACAGCTAGGCCTAAGGAGGACCGAGCCCAGCTGAACCTGCTGTCTCTGGAGCTCACAGACTTGCTACCCACCGTGCAGGTTGGCCTAAGAATCCAGGCCAGGTGACCCAGGCCCCACTGGACCTCCTACCTCTGGGCTCATGGATCCAGCACCTCCCTACGTATCTTAGAAAAAGAAAATAGAATAGGTGAAGAATAGGTGACTATGCTGGCATAGGTATGGTTAACACAAATTTGGTATTAACCAGGTCTGGGGTGCCCGCCAGTTATGAGCTGTTTTTCTCCCAACAGTACACTCGCCTAAGTACAATGCAATCTAGGCCATTCCCCTCAGCTGAAGACCCATTTTCTTGATATAACCAGTGAAAGGCTAGGTCTGTTGGTAACACAGATCTGTTTCCTTGAACCTAGCACTTTGGGTGTTTTTTGTTTGTTTATTTTTTGTTGTTTTAAAAGATTTGTTTATTTTGTGTTGGGAACACAGAATTACAGAGAGAAGAGACAGAGAGAAAGATCTTCCATCCATTGGTTCATTCCCCAAGTAGGTTAAATGGCCAAAGCTGAGCCTATCTGAAGCAAGGACCCAGGAACTTTTTCTAGCTCTCCTACACAGAGTCCAGAGACTTGGGCAATCCTCTACTGCTTTTCCAGGCTATAAGCAGGGAGCTGGATGGGAAAAAGATCAGCTGAGAAATGAACTGGCACCCACATGGGTTCCTGGGAATGCAAGGCAAGGATTTAGCCACTAGGCCATCACGTCAGGCCCAAACCTAAACATTTTAATGTGAGACCTGGTTATCATAACCAGTGTCTTAACTACTAGGCAAAACACCTGCTTCTATTCTTTCAATATACATATAATAACATTCATAAAACATTTGACTTTGTAATGTTGGGATTCCACATAAGAGTCCCAGCTGCTCTGTTTCTGATCCAGCTCCCTATATGTGCTAATTTTTCCTGGGGAGGCAGCAGAAGATGACCGAAGTGCTTTTTCCTATGTGTCCACGTGGGAGACAAGGATGGCGTTCTTGGATTAAGTCTGGCCAAGTCCAGGCTGTTGCAGCCATTTGGGGAGTGAGCTAGTGGGAGAAAAAACTCACTAACTCTCCCTCTTTCTGTGTCACTCTTGCTTTAAAGTAAATTTTAAAAAAATGAAAATATTCCAATCAGTGTTATTTGTGCATTTTCCTGAGAATTAGACAATAAAATTTCCATTTTAATTTGTAATTTCAAACACATAAAAATATAGATAATGATGTAAACACTTAAGTACTTATAAAGATTAAACAGATATAAATATTTTACCATATTTAAGATACCTATCTTTTTGGAGTAAAACCTTACATACGTAGTTCAATGTTCCCCTTTCCTCTGGAGAAACCATTCTCTGGAAATGAAGGTGTGAGCCTCCCTCAGACATTTCTGTTTTTGCAGTGCATATAGGAAAGTGGCCATTCTGTTTTTTCATATTCTAATACACATGACATCATATCACAAACATATTCTTACTCCTTCATTTTGATTAAATGCAAAAATTTTTAAGTTATATTTATTCAGATCAATGCAGGTGAATATAGCTGATTCTAAGTTAATTAGATAACACTAATAGCTGATTCTTTCACCATTTGATTGCTTCCACTTTTTCCTCTATTACAGACAGACCTGTAGTGAAGAACCACTGCTCAGAGCCTACCTGGCCAAAAGGTGGAATCATTCCATCACAGGGTACGTGTGGGATGACCACATAACTTATCATCTAAGCCAAAACACTTTCATGATGAATGGGACAGGAGGCTTACACTGTGATTGTTTCAGGAGAACCTTAGTCATTTTCAAACTTTCTTGGCTTTTTCAATTTGTTGCAAATATTTTCTCTTTCTTTTATTATATATGAGTTATTATTTTCTCACATTCTCTCCAAGCCCCATGTCAAACTCCAACAAAACTTTTTGAAAAGTTTCAATTTGAGAGAATGCATGTGTGTGTGTGTGTGTGTGTGTGCATGTGTGTATGTGTGTGTGTGTGAGAGAGAGAGAGAAAGGGGCTTCCATCTGTTGGTTCACAACTTAACTGCTGTACCACAATTTTTGTACCAGTCTTAACATTTTTGCCAATAGGCAAAACGGCATCTGAGCGGTATACCAAATCTTTATTAAAAATTTCATTTTATTTCTCTGTAAATTGTCCATTCATGTCCTTTGCTTAGTATTTTGTTGGTTTATGGTTTTCTCACTGATGTGTAGAGTTTTATTAGTTATATGGGAGGTTAACCTTTTATTGGTTATACTGAGTTTCAAATATCCTCTTTTCATTAGTGGTTTATCTTCTCATTTTGCTCATGTGTATTTTGTCTTACCAGAACTTAAAACTGTCAAACCAACCAATAGTTTACTTTATACTTTGTTCTTTTTTATCTCATAAGAAATCGTTCTTCATGTTGATGCTATGATGATTTTTTCCTATGTTGCAGTGGTGTTTTGCTTTCCTGCTCAATTGTTTTATCCACCTGGAATTAATCCTTAAGTGTGATATGAAGTAGGAAGCAAAGCTCACCTTTTTCCCAGATAGACCTACTTTTCCCTAGATTTCCAGTCTTTCCTTTTGAATATCAGTTTTCTTTATGCAAGTGTATCTATCTCTGGAGGACTATTCCTTATCTTCCACATTTTCATGGTATATTAATTACTGCTTTGCTGAAAGCCTTGCTACATGGGAGGCAATCTAACTCATTAAGATATTACAATTTACCACATGCAGGTATTCCTCAATACACTATTTCTCTAAAAGCTGTCCTATTAGATTCTGAAACTCTAACCAAAAAGTCATGGTCTTATAAAGTGGCGTTTATTCAAGAAATCTCATGCGATGATCGTTTAAAGATTGCATACCTTAGATTAGGTAAATAGTAAGTATTTGCTAAATTAATGATAGAAGTTTAACTCAGAATAGAGAAGTAGATTGCTACTAAGTAATTTTGGAATATTCATATCAGTTGAGAGAATTAGCCTAAATCATATGTTTTCAACCTATACTTTCCAGCAATTTCCAGATTTGGTTAAAATTTTAACAACAAAACAAAACATTAGTCCTTGGTGGGGAAATGCATTCTGAATACTGAAGAAAAAATGATAAATGCTTTTATGGACTGTATTTCTGACTACATTGAAACTTCATTTTAAAAGATTTATTTATTCACTTATTTGAAAGACAAAGAGCAAGAGAGAGAGAGCGCTTGAGAGAGAGAGAGAGAGAGAAAGAGAGAGATCTTCCACCAGTTAACTCTAAATGCCGGTGAAACCTAGGGCTGGGCCAGGACAAAGCCAGAAGCCTGGAACTCCGTTTGTGTCTTATGGGGATGTCAGACCATGTTCCTCTTGGACCATGATCATCTGCTGTCCTCCCAGTTGGTCTAAACGGAAGATGGATTGGAAGTGGAGTAGCTGGAAATAAAACCAGCACTGTGATATAGGTAGGATGTTGGTGTATCAAGCTGGGGTATCATAGCGCACCATAATACCTGCCCCCAAAACACAAGGGAATTTTTAAAAGTTTTTCTTCATCAAAACGTAGAAATAAAGCAAGTGTCTGTGGCAAATAATCATAACATAAGTAAATACTCACTTTTTAAAAAGATTTATTTTATTTTATTTTTATTGGAAAGTCAGATGTACAGAGAAGAGAGACAGAGAGGAAGATCTCCCATCCGATGGTTCACTCCCCAAGTGACTGCAATGACTGGAGCTGCGCCCATCCGAAGCCAGGATCCAGGAGCATCTTCTAGGTCTTCCACGTGGGTGCAGGGTCCCAAGGCTTTGGGCTGTCCTCAACTGCTTTCACAGGCCACAAGCAGGGCGCTGGATGGGAAGTGGAGCTGCCTCTGTCTTTGTGTAAAATAGGTGTCTGTGTGTCCGTGTACAAAACATATATCCATGCACAAAGGATCTTTCTCTCTGTCTCTCCTTTTCTCTGTAATTCTGGCTTTCCAAGAAAAAAAAAATACTTAAAACAAAGGTTGTGGATGACTTGAAAATTTTCATTTTTCTCCAAGACAAAGAAAAACCCATCAGTATGATTTTTAACACAAGTTCTTGTAGAAAGCACTTGAACGTTGATGTACTAAAGATCTCAGGTGCTTTCAACGTACAGGATCCGTGTCCTGGCAGCTGGGCCCGTTTTGTACACGGACACACAGAGGCCTATTTTACACAAAGACACATGTATTCTGCAAATGAGCTTGAGTGTGCAGATGGACACGTGTTTACACACTGACGCACGTTCTGCAGCCAAGTGGCGCTGTGCTAGACGCTAGTAGGCGTCCTGGGAACATCACTGGGACAGTTAAGAACTACAACTCCCGGCGCGCGCAGCCACCTCCAGGCGTCGTGCCTCCCCGCGCCTAGATTGTCTCCGCCCAGCGGCCGGCTCAGCCTGGCTCAGCTCCCGGCTCGGCTCCCAGCTCGGCTCCCTAGCCTAGTTCCCTGCAGAGGGATCGGCCAGCGAACGCATGGAGTCCCGAGCCGCTGACAGCTGTTTGTTGGGCGACGTGGGTACGTGCGGGGCGCTTGCAGAGGGTGCTGGGCAGGGGGTTGGAGGGCTGGCGTGGAAAGGAGAACTGCAGGAGCCGGCTCTGGAGGACTGTGAAGAAGCACACCTGACGGTGATGGCTTTGTCTGTGAGGTGGGTGAACCCTGTTCCGAGTTTGTAGTCGGGACGCTTGGGTGGGGGATCTGCGGTGACAGCACTTTCCTGCTTATCCCAAGCATCTGGATGGAGCTCCGGTGTCCCGCACCAAGTCTCAGGGTACTGCGGGGCGGATTGTTCCTGCGTGTGACGCACCACCAGGTGTGGGATTTCAGTACCGCAGACCCATTGGAGCGCCGCCAAAGTTTGAGATGATGCGGGATGTGTGCAGGGCCGAGGCTCACTTAACCAAGAGAGTGAGAAGTGCCTCCCCGGGCCTATTTGTTGGACAGCCCGGGCAGTGACTGTACAGGGGCAGCAGCAAAGTCTGTCTCCCCGGCGCCTGGGAGGCTGTGGTGCAGTGTCGTGAGCATCCTACAGAGACACTCAGCTGTGACCAAGTGAAGTTAGCAGAGAGACCTTGGGACACCAGCACTGACTCACTCGGAACAGTGTGACCTTACTTCACCATGCTGTCTGTGCCTGAATAAAACTGGAACGTGCATATAGGAGTCCTTTCAGGAAGCCAACTTTTCCCTGCCTATGAAATAATAATATGGCAAATGAAATGAGTAGTCAAAGTGCTTTGACAATCTGGGAAGCAAAACGACAGTGCTAAAAACAGCAGTGTAAGTAACAGTGAAAAACTTGAAGGCAGTCATAGCACTGCAAAGATATTTTCATTGATTTTTGCAATCTAGCCACCTTCAACAAGATCAAAGGTATTTAATAAGCATCTGCTTTGGTCTGACCTTCCACCCCAGGCAAGCACAGACTTTGACCCTGACAGTGTGATCTCCCTTTGCTTGGCTCAGTGGAATAAGGAACGAACTTAGCTAACCAATGAAGGCCATTCAAACTGATTTAAACTATTACTTTACTATTTTTGTTTCTGTAGAGGGTTCAGTACCCCATTGCCACTTGTCAATGTGTTTTCTGCATTTTGCTAGAGAAATATTTCTGTAGAAGAAAAACACCCTTTAAATTCGTGGATGTGCAGCTTCTTCAGTTCCTGTATTTCTGACATTGTCATGGTTTTTATTCAATCTTGTTATGCAAAAGTATGTCCTAATGACATATTTATTGTTGAAACCCCACTGTTATCCCTGCAGAGAGGCCGTCTGTAAGAGCTTTAACCCATTTTAACATTCTGACCTTAAACTCTATATAAAACATCCAGAAACTTAACACATAGAAGTTTCCCATTTTTAATTGTAACATCCCACATATGTCACAATTACAGGACTTTAAAGAGAATCACATCCTAAAATTAATCTAGTGCTTTTTACTTAGAAAAATGTAAGAAATAATTATTAATCTGATTAAACATGTTTACTTGCTTAGTTGAAAAAGTGGTTCCCACATTCGACATCCATATACAAGAATCTGTCTTGGAGGTTTAGGGCTGATGGAAGAGGAAAAAAATGTCTTCAGGAATTTGAGGATCTAAGCGAGGTGAGCTTCTGATGCCCTTAGGGATCCTCAACCAAGAAAGAACTCTTTTCCTCTCAGTAGAGCAAAGATACGCTTTTACTACTTTTGTTTTTAAAAGATTTATATATTTATTAGAAAGAATTACACATGTGAAGAGAGAGAGAGAGAGAGAGAGAATCTTCCATCCACTGGTCTACTACCCTGATAGCTGCAGCCAGGAGCTTCAGCATAATCTTTCATATGTGTGACAGGGCCCCGTGTAGATGGGCCATCTTCTGCTGCTTTCCCAGGACATTAGTAGGGAACTGGATCAGATGTGGAACAACCAGGACTTGAAGCAGATGCCAGAGTCACAGGTGGCCACTTGACATGCTATGCCACAACATCAAACACCCCTCAGCCAAGAACTCTTTAAGCCTCTGGGGGCTTAAAGTAGGGGGAGAAAAGAAAGTACTTTTCATCACATCTGCCGAGACTACGTCATACCACATCCATGATGAGTAATGTGTTTTGTCTCCGGGGTCTCAGGAACATAGGCATGGCTTGTAGCGCCTGCTCAGTGACAATCCCAGGAAAGTGTATGCAAGTTGATTCTTATGTTGAGTCAGAAGGGTTTGATTTTTTTTTTTAAGATTTATTTATTTTTATTACAAAGTTAGATATACAGAGAGGAGGAGAGACAGAAAGGAAGATCTTTCGTCCGATGAATCACTCCCCAAGTAAGTGCAACGGCTGGTGCTGTGCCGATCCAAAACCAGGAACCTGGAACCTCCTCTGGGTCTCCCACACGGGTGCAGGGTCCCAAAGCTTTGGGTCGCCCTCGACTGCTTTCCTAGGCCACAAGCATGGAGCTAGATGGGAAGTGGAGCTGCCGGGATCAGAACCGGTACCCATATGGGATCCCAGCACGTTGAAGGTGAGGACTTTAGCTGCTAGGGCACGCGGCCAGGCCCGGTGTGGTTTAAAAAACAAAACAAAACATAATAGTGAGAGTTCTCTGGGAGATTTAGATAATCATTGCCATGGCTGGGAGGTAAATGTTTTCAGATTGGGTTTTTGTTCCCAAGGTAAAGAAAGATGCACTCTGGACATTTCAGAAATGTCCTGTATTGTAGAAAAAACTCGCTGGTCCCTGTGTTGTATTGCCAGTAAGAATGAAAGAAGAAAATCTGGTGGTGGATGTGTGGCATAATGGTTGAGATAAGACACTGCTTAGGGGTGCCTGCTCTTGTGTCCTGGGTCATTTTCCTATTTCCCAAATGCCACCTAAGAGGCAGCTGCCACCCATGTGGGAGACCCCACTGTTCTGACTCCTATTTTTGGCCTGGCCTGGCTTCAGCTATTGCAGCATTTTTTAGTGTGAACCAGTACATTGAGATCTCTTTCTCTGTCTCCTTGCTTTTCCAATAAAATTTTAAAAATCCATTTAGGTTTTTTGTAAGACCCAATGGAATTTTGAAATAGTGGCTGTGGCCAGGTAGCAGTCATCATTTGTAGAGATATAAATCTGTTTTAATTTTTAAGTATAACTTTGCTGCCCTAAAGAATAGGAAGGTCTTGGAAGTTTATTCAGCTGAAGCTCAGGGACAGTGTGCATCTTGCGTTAGAAACCAGAAAATTGCCCTAGAAATTATGGGAATTAAAAATGTAGGGTGATACTCTTCTAGGCTAAAGAACCCACAAAACAGTAATCCTGGCCGCAAATTGGAATACCCTGGGGATGTTGAAAAACTATTAATGCTTGAGTCCTATGGTTTTGGGGTTACAGTCTAGGCACCTCACATTTTAAATATTTCCCAGAGATTCTAACATGACTGAAGTTGAGGACAACAGAATTAGAGAAAGTCTTGTAAAAATGCAAACCCTACCTGCAGCCAGTTTTTGGAAGTAGAGAGGAGCATGGGGCACAAGCATTCAGGCACAAAAAGAGGTATATTTTGGGGTGTAGATTTGAATTCGTAAAATCAGATGGCAACAACATAGTGAGAAACTTCGTCTTCTTGACTGTTTACAGTCATCCTTTATGCAGTCCTACTGTGTGTCAAGCAGTAAACTGAAGTGTTAAAGTGATCTGCTCTGCGGTAGCTTGCTGTGCAGACATTGCATCGCTGTCTTGTGGAGACACTGCAGCCACCTTTATTGCCCTTGGACTTGTTCCCTGAAGCTTTTCAGCCCGATATTTTCAGCTTGGATTTTGGAATGAGTTATTGCTCTGCATGGCTCATCATTTCCATTTTCCATTAACAAACCCTATTTATAGAAGACAATAATTTTTTTATTTCTAAAAATCTATTTATTTGAAAGGCATGTTTTGGGGAATATGTATTTTTTTTTAATTCTGTAGATGATGGCTTATCATTTCCATTGTCTGTAAATAAACCCTATTTTCAGAGGACAATCTTTTTTATTTCTAAAAATCTATATATATTTGGAAGGCAGAGTTCCAGATGGGGAGAAGGAAAGGAAAAAGGAGGGAGGGAGGGAGGAAGAGAGAGAGAGATTTTCCATTTGCTGGATCACTCCCCAAATGGCCGTTACAAATGGGGTTTAATCAGGCCAACATCAGGATGCTTCCCTTGACTTATATATCCAGTGAATTTGCCACTTTTTCAAAAAGTTTGTAAAAATCTATTTGAAAAACAGAGTGACACAGAGAGGTGGAGAGGCAGGGAGCAAGATCTTCCATTTGTTGGTTCACTCCCCCATTGATCACAAAGACCAGTGCTAGGTTAAAGTCGGGAGCCTAGAACTCCACGCAGGTCTCCCACATGAGTGCAGGGGCTGAGATACTTGAGCCATCCTCTACTGCTTTCTCAGGTGCATTAGTGGGAGGCTGGATCAGAAGCAGAGCATCTAGGACTCAAACCACCACTTAGGTGTGGGATTCTGGCATCATGGGTGAAGGCTTAACCCCTTGTGCCACACCACCAACCCTGAATTTGGCATTCTTGAGAGCCTAATAAGGTCCTTTGTGAAACTGGGCTGAGGAATGCCAGCTGAATCCCATTCCTGTTCCTTGTGGATAAAAGAGCTTTGTGCTTAAGGCCATTGCAGGACCCAGGCCAACTGCAGCTTGCTTGCCTCCTGGGTGGTACTTACCTTTGGAAAATATTGGATTTTAGCAAATTGATCTCACCACTTGTATTGTTGAAGTGGAAAGCTGAGATCAATGCTGATGTCAACTAAGAGTTTAATTAGTGTGATATGGTACAATTGGATGGAAAGGAAGAAGGAAGAAATGTTTTGTCTTCCATTTCCATTTTCCAAAAGATTTAAATCTCATCAAAATGCAGTCTGGGGCAGCGTAATAAAGCAAACTGATCAAGGTCTGGGTAAAAAGTAGTTTAAGATGTACCAATTGTCAGTATCTGTTTATTTTTCATGTTTAATTATCAAATACACATCATACAGAATTTATCATCTTCGATATTTT